ATTCATAAAAGAGAGATATATTTCGAGGAAGATCTTTAAACTTACATTTTATATATTTCTTCTATTTTTTTTTTTCATATTGAAAACTTTGATTGATTTGAATCAAATTTGTAAAATCATCATATTTATCAAAGTTTCTCATTTTTCACTTGTGCTTAATTTATTACGATCATTCATTAAAAAGAGATATATTTTGAGAAGATTTTTGAATATACATTTTATTTATTTCTTCATAATTTTCTCATTGAAAAACTTTGATTGATTGAATTAAATCTTTAATTATCATATTTATTAAAGTTTTTCATGTGGCACTTGATCTATCATTTGTATGTTATTCATTGAAGTGTTAGTATTTCTTAGTACTTAATCCACTTGTAAGAGAGGAGTTCATTGTAAAACTATTTTGTTATACTTGTATGTAATATTGAGATCCTATAAAGCTAAAAAACATGGTCATATTGAGGTTCTGTAAAGCTCAATATTATATAACAATCGATGCTCTTGTTTGTAAATCATCGAAAACGTTGTAAAGGGATGGATTGCGCTATAAGTCAATCAATATAATAAAAAAGCCTTACTTGTGTGAAGAGCTTGGTATCGAAGGACGAAGATCATTACTTTGGATTGAATCTCCACAATTATATCGTTGGCACCATCTCTTTTATTGGCTTTCATATTTTCACTTATTATTTGAATTAATCTTTTTAGTCTTTACTTGCTTAAAATTAGATTAGATATTCGAAATAGTTTTTAAAAACCTATTTACTTTTCTCTTGGTTAGTTGTTCTTGGACTATCTATTTGATTGGTGAAAAAACTTTTCAAATTGTCCAGTGGTGTGTTGCTATGCGGCACAATGTAAAACATGATGTAAAAGATGACGTACATGTTGCACGATTAATTTTCCTTTTCTAATACAATTTCTATATATAAAATTATTTACAGTACGAGATAGGATTTAATAATTTAAATATTTTTCATATATTGTACGAGAGGATGTAGCGATATAAAGTGTCACATTGACATACTAATGTTATTTTGAGCAAAAATTTAAAACTAATAATAATAATATTAAGCATGTCGAGCCAAAATGTGATGTTCGGAATCGAGCACAACAACAATTTGAGAATAAAATTATGTGTTGAGCTAAAGGAGATCTAGATTCACCTTAAAAATGGACTTGTGTCATTTTGACACAATACGATCTACATTGTTTGATGTAATAAGGTAGTATGACATGTCTCAACTATGATAACTTGTGCTAAAAATATGAAGCCTTTGGTTGATACAGTTGAAATGTTTTAATCTATCAAATTTTGATAGATTTTACTCTATTGTTTCAATTAAAAAATATGAACCTAGACTATGAACTTTAGAGTAGGATTATAAAGTTTGTGCAAATTATCACATTTACCCTGGAAGTGCTCTGCATAATTACTGTGTTGCCCCTTCATTCATTTCCCACTTCAATGACCTTTTTGGGTTTCTCAACCACTAGAAGGGAAAAACAGGCTTTTTAGGATGCCACTATTGTTGACTTCTTTTGTGTACATTTGTTGCCATACATAACGTGGGGCTATATGATTTGATCGAAAAATTAATTTTTTTCCATAAATAACACGTTCAACGGATGCTAAGCTTAATTTTGTTGAGCTAATATGAGATCACCTTAAATTTGGACTATGCCATTCATAGACAATCTAATTTACGTGAAAGAAGATACCATGTCTCACCCCAACTTTGATAAATTGTGCAAGAAAATTTTAATTTTCAATATGTTGAGCTAAAACTACATCTAAATTTGAGTTGACCATGTTCAAACACAATAACTTGTTAAATGAACCATTAACTAAGCATCTCGAGTCAAAGTGATATGTGTTTGTTCATTATAATGAAGACGAGTAAATATCCCATGCAGACTGTCACGCTTTGCTTTGCAGGGCCCAAACTATACTACGTGGCATGCAAACATAGGGACCTTATGCCACGCCATAATATATTAAAATATCACAAGGTTGATCTGGGTGAACCATCGAACTAATATATTTGTCGACCCTATGGGCAAATTATACTAACCCTATGTGGAAGAGCCAAACCATAAACAGAGGCAAGGCTGCAAAAAAAGTTTAGCAGAAGATATGTTGACCTCGTTTTTTGATAGGATGATGTGGACAACAGATACCGATCCCACTCGTGTACACGTAAGCAAAGTTGGACACATGGTTAGAATGCTAGTCGATAATACTCCAATTTTGAACGTGGGAAATGCTTTCTAACATGAGAAAAATATGTTCAAGCTCCGTCAATATATTTCAAGATCGATTGTATGATAATAACCAATCGTTCACAATTTGACTAAAACTATATAATCTAAACTCAAGCTAAAGCAAATATATTATCACCAGGAAAGAAAACTAATAGTAGCTTTAAGTGTATAGATTTGCATTAGCCTTTAAATGATACATGGAGGGGGTATTTATAGTATTATATGGAGGGGATATTTAGAGTATTACAAATGAAAAGGCATTTATTGGATGAAAATCTATGTGGCCTCATCTCCTTGGCCGAAGCATACCATCCTAAGCCCTAATTTAAACTTTCTAGCCTGTGCAGTCATCCTATTGCCTAAACAGATAAAATAAGACATTTTCTCATTACAAAAGTCACATTAATCATTCCAAAAGGATCTTCTACATAAATTCAGATTCTTTTTGTGTGGGTCATCATTTGCTGTACTTGGGCTTCGGCTTTGACTTGTGCGAGCCTCATCACCTCAGCCAATAATTGAGCTTAGCTTCGAGGCTTCGATCTTAACATAGGACTGCTTTGTTGGATGTGATTTTCTGTGGAGTGGGTCAGCCAATTCAATAATTGACAAATGGGCCTCGATGAGTTTGCCAAATGGAGCCAAATGTGATGAGGCATAAGAATATCCTCCAAGTCTATATATAATTATTCATATCATGCGTGGACTTCAGTATTAAAAGGACAATAGTTTCTCTTTGACTTTTCAATAACAATAGTCCCTCAAATCCAAGTATAGATATTCATATCATGATTGGAGTTCGAATTTAGCAATATTTCTTTATACTACATAAATATTTGAGACTTCTTCGAGCTGAGGTAGGATATAACTAGACTACTCAGGCTCTTTTTTACTTTGAAGGTAGGCTTTACGTGGCAAACTCATCTAGGTCCATTTGTCGATTATTGAATTGGCCGACCTACTCCATGGAAAATCACATCCACCAAAGCAATCCTTTGTTAAGCCCAAAGCCCCAAAACTAAGCTTAGTTGTTTAGCAAGGCAATGAAGCTCGACAAAAGTCAAAGTTGAAGCCCAAGTATAGCAAATGACGACCCATACAAAATGATTCTGAATATATTTAGGAGATCCTTTTGGAATGTTTGATGTAACTTCTGTAATGAGTAAAATGTCTTGTCTTGTTAGTTTAGACAATAGGGTGGCTATTTTTTTGTGAGACAACTAAACTAAATTCACCACAGGACAAAAAGATCAATTGACGCATAAGATGGTACGCTTCAGCCAAGGAGGTGAGGTCACGTGGATTTTCATTCAATGGACACTGTTTTATTTATATCACTATAAATACACCCTCCACATATCATTTGAAGGCTAACGCAAATACATACACTTAAAGCTATTATTTGTTTTCTTTTTTGCTGATAATACATTTGCTTTTGCTTGAGTTTTGATTATCTGCTTTTAGTCAAATTGTGAATGATTGGTTATTATCATACAATTAATCTTGAAATATATTGTCGGAGTTCGAACATATTTGTCTCATGTTACAAAGCATCTCCCACGTCCAAAATCGGAGTATTATCGACTAGCATCCTGTCTATACGTGTCGAAATTTGCTTACCTATACATGAGTGAGACCAATATCTGTTGTCCACATTATCCTTATGAAAAACGAGGTGAACATTGAACAAGATATTCCTAGCAATCTTTTTAATAAGTGATTAACGTGACAATTCACTCTCGCTGCCATTGCTAGCCTATCTGATCAATTTTAAAGTTGCAAGTTAGGCGTTATGGATGCTAGAGTAGTGTTAGCATTTAAAGCTTATGATTGATTGATATCTAAGATAAGAGGCATTAATCACATGGATGAGGCCACCTATCTCTTCATCCAATGGCTCAAATTTTCCCTTTCTTATTATAAAAGTTTACACTTAGTGCCATTTGAATGGAATGCAAGTTTAGACTCTTACACTATAACTTAGCCATATCACTATTCTATTTATTCCTTTTTATATTGGAGGCTCACATCTAAAGCTCTCACACACTAATATATTTTTTCTTCTCTAACTGACTTGATTTTCAATGTGCACGACACCAAGTCCACTCTTATCGAAGGAGGCCAATTGTGGCTGACGATTTGTCCAAATGTGTAGAAACAAGACTTGCATGGATGTGAAGCCTTAAGATTTGTTGGCCTCGTTGGAAGTACATTTTTTTGGGTTAACATAGACAACAAGTTAGTTGTAATTATCATGGTGAGTCAAAAGTGACGTGTGTTCATTAGAATGAACACGAATAAATATCACTTGTAAATAATAATGTAAATAATAAGAAAGTTGTAATTATAAATACTTGATTAAAATTAACTTATGTTTGGAAATATTATAAATTATTTGTAATTTTCAATTATAATCAAACTTTAATCTTAATCATAATTATTTGAGTTTGATTTAAAATAAGATTGTAATGAAATCCAAATAAACACCCACTAGGTTTAGTACCTGGGGAAGAATGTTAGCTTGCTTGTTTTTCATTGTCGGAGAAATTAAAGGGTTTTGAATAGTATTTTTTGAAAAATATGTGATTAAAATTTAAAGAAATTTTATTAAGTTATGTGTAGAATATTTTATTGTATAAATGTGTAGTAGAGAATGTTTACTGTAATAAATAATTTAATTTGTTAAATGATAAGGATATATTAAAAGAAACAGTAAAAATACCTTATCATCTCTCTCTGTCCGTCCCAAAAATCAGCAATTTTCTCCTTAGTTCTTTTACTCCCCACTTTATTCCTTTTTTATTCTTCCCAATCAATATCTAACACTCAAGCATATACAATAAGTGTGGTGTATATAATCTCTATCCGCGTGTGTATACGGGCTGAATCCTTTGCATATAATTCATCAATGATTCAGTTCTCGGGTAATGTGAATTAGTTAGTGTTTGACTACTTGGGATTATATTTTTCTGCAATCAAATCGTGGTGATCATCTCTAACTCTTTCTCATATTCCCATCGGATTTAGGTTTTCCTTTTATATAACGTATAAACGTATTTGATTTTGCCTTGGGGTGTACAATTGTTATTTTCCTTCTTTTTTCTTTGAGCTGGGGGCTTCTACGAAGAACACAGTTCTATCGTGATCTTGCTTCAGTCACAGGTCTGTTTTTTTAATTTTCCTACTTTTTTCAGCTTCATTCTTTTCTTTTGGGTACATATATACACGAATTTGTTCGTGTTTAAAATATGGGTTACTGCAAATTTTGTACATTTTCATGGTCTTTTGTGATCTTTGGATAAATAAAGAAAGCTTTGAATTTCGGCGTCTCTTAGGGTCTTTTTTTGGAACAATAATTGAGGGTTCTTGAGGATACACAATGGCGTTAAGTCAAGAAGAAAATCCGTTTTCTGAAGAAAAGTTTGAGGATGGGTGTTCAATTGAGGAATGTTTGGGTAGAAAAGGTAAAAATCTGGGTGTTGAGTTTAAATCCGAGAAGTTGTGTGAAGGTATTGATGATATCTTGCCTAACGATCCGTTTGATATGGGGGTTACTCTAGGGTTACCTAATGATCCATTTGGTATGGATTTCAATATTGGCGCCACTGTCATGGCAATAAGTGGTTGGATTGAGGATATTGAGAAGAATTTTGGGAGAAAGAGTTCTGGGTTCGAGATGGGGGAAGCCTCTGGGGTTAAAAAGGATGATAACAAATTATTTTCTGAACTGAATTTTATTTTGAGCAGCTCCATGAAGTTTGAATTAGAAGTAGGAGACGAAAAGGGGATTGATGAAAACTCAGTTGATTCAGATATGGATTCGGATCATGGTTTATACGAACACCATTATCTGTTGGAAGGTAACACAGAGGAGTCGATATGTTTTGGATGTGAAAAATATTCAATATCAAGCGCTGAGAAGAAAGGAAACGAACTTGTCACAAATAATAATGATGGCAATGAAGGTGCTCCACCAGATGCTTTGTTCTTTGCTCTTGGTTATCTTGGTGTGAGGGACCTACTTTCTGTTGAAAGTGTTTGCAAATCTTTGCGGGATGCCATTCAGAATGATCCCCTTTTATGGAGAGAGATTCGCATAGACTACCCATTGAATGTTAAGATTACTGATGATGCTCTTGTGCGGTTAACAGACAGGGCTCAAGGTAGTCTTCACAGCCTCAACCTTGTAAACTGCTTTAAGATCAAGGATTCTGGTCTGAAAAGGGTGCTTGAAAAACATCCGCGGTTGACCAAGGTTTGTATACCATAAACGGAATCTTTTGTTACTTCATATGCTGTTGCCTATGCTTCATTTATTTTCACTACATTTTTCTTCATGCCTCTTTGTTTTCAATGTGTGTGTACTTCTTCCTTTGTAATGCTACATTTCACTGGTATTGTACATCTATAATTAGCCACTTGACTGGATGATCTATTTACCATATAAACTATGTTTTTAATTGTATGGAAGTTATGGAATTTAGAATTGTATCTTGTAGCGTGTTTGTACCTTGACAACATGTTTGGCATGTAATATTAACAAGATTGGATGGATAGAAAAGAAAATATAACTTAAAATCTTTTGTGTTTTATCTGAGGGCACTTATGCTTCATTTATTTATCTACTCTTCGTTTCTCCTCTCTCTCTCTCCTTTTTTTTTTCTTTTTCTTTTTCTTTCTTTCTTTTTTTGCTCAAAATGTTTTCTATGACACTATATTATCATTGTTGTTGTCGATCTTAAATTAGCTGCTTGACTGGTTAATTATATCGGAATAAAGGAACATTGATTACGCTATACTATTTTGTTCGATTTTTGTTTAATTGATGGGTAGAAAGCACACAACAAAGTTTTCACAATGACTTGGGCTATTCTGAGCCAGAGATGAAAGCCAATCCGGAAAATTAACTACCTTTTTTCTACATACTTTACTTATGGAGAGGGGTTAAGGAGATTTTGTGTTGCAGTGCCAATAACAATCTCTTTAATGAAATGTGTGGGTCATTTATTATTAGGGCTTCTTCGAATTTAATTGTCAGGGCTTTGAATGCAATCATTTATATTGTATCAATACAAAATAATTGATGGGTTAATGTAAGCAGCTTTTGTGGTTCTCTTTTTCTGTTTTGTAAACCTGAAACATGAGTTAACCTACTAATAGGATGTGAAGATTGTTATTTCTTGCGACAGGCAATTTTTTCCTATTATCCTTCTCGAAATATTTAGTTATTTCACATTTGGGAACTTATATATTGCTTAGTAGATATTTATGTACTTTTTTGTCCTCAGTTTTTGTTCCAAACCTTTTTCATTTTAAATTTGGTATAATCTAAAATATGTTTTGACCATTTTCTTAATTTTTGTTTAACTGCACTTACAGATTTGTTTCCTTGGGTATATGCAGTTAAGTGTACCGGGATGCATTGGACTCAGCATTGAAGGTGTTTTGACCAACTTAAAGTCCTTCAAGTCTTCTGGTAAAACTGGTATCGAGATTCTGAGAATCGGCGAAATTTGCAGTGTAAAGGATGATCAGTTAAAAGAGTTAAGGCTTTTATTGGGTGAAGATAAAGACAAACAACGCACTGCCCACAAACTGCATTTTTATCGTTATGGGCAGTTGTATTTATCTTTGGAAGATGAATGTGCAATTGATGTAAACGTGTGTCCGAGATGCCAGCACGTGAGACTGGTCTATGATTGTCCAGCCAAGAGTTGCCAACAAAGGCCCCACACCTCACAATCATGCAGAGGTTGCACTTTTTGCATTCCGCGCTGCATAAATTGTGGGCGCTGTCTAAATGATACTGATTACGAGGAGACATTCTATCTGGACTTGATTTGTCTGAATTGCTGGATGGATATCTTGAATTGTCAGGATAGAGTCACGCTTTCACCAAAACTCCCTTATATTCATCAGCAGGCAAGTTACAGCCTTTTCATATATGACTGAATAACCTTTTTCCTGGATATGACTTCAGGCTATGTATGGCTATATATATACATAATGGAGACATTACATTGAAGATCCTTTATACGGTGGAGCCAAAAGGATAGAAATTGAATTGTCAGTTGCAACTACTTGAGCTCATTCTCGTGTTTTGGAAGGTTTCAAGTGCACTTGTTATTGCATCTTTAGTGAAGTGGATTACATAGTACTCGACTGTATTATAGAAGGGAAAATATATAGCCAACTTCTTGTCCTATGTACTCTCTATACTACACAAGGGACCTACTTAACGGAAAAAGCTGTGGAAGAGGAGTTGATTTAACATGTCAACTATGTCTTGAAGGATGGCCGGATGATATTAATAGTTGATAATTATTGAGAAGTATTGTAAATATCCGCACAGAAAATCCTAATTCTGTACTGTAATAAATGTTAATTTGGGATTCATGTGTCGCCTTTCTAAGTGTGATGTACTGCTGCATTTCCATATATGGGAGCAAGTTACATGTTTATGCTTATTTGTCTATGTAAAATTTGGATTTCTGACTAATCTTTTTGTGGTTATCTGTTCAGTCCTTTTGGCTGTTTACATGAATGCCATATTCAGTTAATACTTGTGTGTTTAAGTTTATTCGCAGCATGTTTTGGTTAAGCTTAAGTCATTCAAAATTTTGAGTATGGACGTTATTTTCTTTTTACTTATAAGTAAAACAGTTACTTGTTATGAGAGTAATGCGGGGCTGCTTTCATGCTCATCCATGGAAGCTTTAGGCTATTAACAGTTGCATAATAAAAGCTGTTGTTCTGCCATTTCTGTTTCTTGCATGGGAATGAATCTAGGATGTGATTTATGTCATGAATGTCGTGTGTTGCTTAAAAATATGTTAAAAGAATTAATTATTTCTATACTAAAATGAGATACTATCGAATGGATGATTCCTGCAATTGATAATATCTTGCGACAAAAACATAATATCGGATTTGTATCTTAGCCCTTGTTTGCCAACCATTATAATGTGAAATTTGGGTAAAATGTATCTTGGAATAGTGGTTTTTGGGAGAATGTGTGGTTAAAAATGAAGAAATTTTTTTAATTTACGTGTAATATTATTTTATTGAATAATCTATGGTTGAAAAGAAGAGAGAAAAATATTTTAAAATTTTAAATGGAATAAAACAAGGGATAAATTTTCAAGAACCAACATACGGTCCAGTGCTGGACCGATTTCGGTTAAAATTCCTACCACTATGTACCTATCAATTAAGTTGAAAAGTTGGGCTTGGTCTGATTTTAAGAAAAAAAAGACCAATTGGGAACAAATGGTTGTTCGAAACTTTGACTTTTGGCATTGTGCCTTTTTTGAGTTATATATGCCGGAATAATTTTCATAACGACGGTAGTATTTATTTGAGTTTCACTATGAGTAATTGAAATTGTAATTTGATAGAAATAAGTTGTGAATAAATGCATGGGTTTAGCTTCTTGGACATGGCCGCGTAGGTTCTGTCCAAACCAGGTGTCAATTTGACGCCGATCAAGAATTTCGATTTTCGAAAAGTATCATGATCATTCAATAAGAAGGGTTTCTATTTTTTCAAATAAACAATTG